GCTAGCTCAAAACCTATGATCTCATTTTTCTAAAATTTTGAGGAAATTAATAAATGTCTCAAATGCTGAAATTCAACTAGTAACATGCCTGGAATATTTTAAACTTGTTGCCATATTTATTTCTATGGCAGATATTTTGAAAGAGGAAGATCCTAAAGAAATAGCTATATCTCTAGCCAGAAAAAAAAAATTAAAACCTGGTTGGTAAGGCTATGACAGTCGGTAATGCAAAGTGAAAAAAATTAAGTACTCGTAATTGCGTTTTGAGGAATGAAAAAAAAAATAACACTTCCTTGGAGCTATTCTTTCAGTCAGTCTGGATTCAGAATTAAAAAACCAAACAGTGCATCTGTTTACATTGTCAATGATATTCACAGTGAGAAGGGCTAGGAAACACATTTTTAAAGGAGAGTCCAGAATCCAGAGAATACCTGGGTGTATGCTAGGGGCGTGATGCCTGCTTAGGAGATTATTCTTTCTTCATTGTGAAATAGACTACACTATCATAGTTCATTTACTTAATGAGCATTTGTTAAACACGTATAGCCTATGCCAAAGGAAAGGCAGAATAACAGAGTGGATAGAGAATGAGTGAATGAGTCAGTGTTCAATCCTGAATCCTGGATGGGTAGTTTTGACAACGTCACATGGTCTATCAGTGCCCTAAGCAACTCTCTAACACTCTGAGTTGAAGGGCAGGGGGCAATCTACATTGGTAGAGGGCGGGGTTTCGCCATTGGTAGTTCACTATGTCAATAAACTCACAGATCTGGACCTATTATGTGAAAGACAAAAGTACTAAACATTGGTACAAAGACAAAAGTGAAACCAGGCTAACACTCAATGGGTTCATGATTTAGTGGCAGTGTAGTATTGATATCGTATACACAAACTGTGCATACAAAATGTGCTGAAAGTAATGTGGAGGAAAAGGGAGTGCGGAAGGAAGGCCTTAGAGTCACGAAGGCAAATAGGAGTTCTAAGAGTTTGAAAGTGAAGAGTGGATGTATTTCAGGTAGAGAGGACTGCCTGTGCAAAAGCCCAGATATGGGAGATTAGATTAGATTGATTAGATTATTGACTTATAGCTATTGGGGATCTTGGAGGCCAGTCCTCTAACCCTCTCATTTTAGAAATGAGAAGAATTATGTCCAAGGAGGTTGGAGCTAGCCCAAGATCACTCAGGTAGTATCAAAGATGAGATCTGGCCGCAAGTCCTCCAACCTCCAAGCCAGCACCACACTGTTTACTCAAGATAAAATGTTATAAAGGAAGAGCAGCAAATGGGGTGGCTGCCACTTTTCTCCTTAGAGAACTCACTGCCTCGCTTAAGTTGGTGCTGGTATGTTTGTTCGTATTGCTAACATTGGCATCCCCTTTCCAGGATAAAATGACGCAAGAAAAGTCAATTAAAGGACTCCCCCTACTTAAAGAGCCAATTAGTTCAATGTCTGCTAACAAATCCTTAGAGGCCTTGTTTTGGATCAAAATATATTGGTTTATCCAAAATGGAGATTTTTCATTTTAAAAACAACTCTCTGTTGAGACCACTAAGAGTCTCACAATCCTGAGCTTGAAACAAAAGCAAATCCACCTTGAAAGTCTACTCAGGTGTAGAAAACATTTTAATACTCAAATCCCTTAGCTCAGAGCTGCAACTAATAATTCTTGTGACTGGAGAAATTCCACTGAGTGTATGTGCATATGTGTGTGTGTGTTTGTGTGTGTGTGTGTGTGTGTGTGTGTGTGTGTATGTGTGTGTGTTCGTGACTGTGGGAGTATGAGTGGGCATTGAAGACTGACATCCTTGTCTCTGAACAGAGTTTAGATGCTTGCTAGGAGAGGAAGCAGCCTCCCATCCTCCCCAGAATCTAGCCTGTGCCTTCTCTGAGAAGGGTCCCCAGGAAATAGAAGCCATGGTGATAGACTCCTAGGGGTGCAAAGCAGGACAACAGTACTCTAAGGATGATCATATTCACCTGAAAAAGAACACATGCACCACCATGGAGGAATTCTATATGGCTACAACCAAGGAGTGATTCTCAATTAATCATTGCCATGGTTGTCATCATCATTATCATCATCATCATCATCATCATCATTATCATAATAATAATTCTTACTGTAATACCTAGCAGTTAAATAGTTCTGACCATACAAGGCTTGAAAATAGCTTGATTATATAACATATAATAATATAAATTAAATTATTAGATAATGTAATAGGTGATAATGTATAACATAATAATATTATTATACAATATATAATACATACATATTATATTATGTCTATATTATTTCATTTGCCCCTCACAACAATCTTTGACATAGGTACTATCATCCCCATTTTACAGATGAAGAAATTGAGGCTGAGAAATGTTAAGTGACCAGGGTCACATAGCTGTTAACCAAGGTCTTCCTGGCATCAATTCCTGCAGTCTATGCACTCTACAACCTAGCTGCTAGAGTTGACCTGTGAGAGTTACAGTTCTGCTTTAGCCATCCAGTATTTTCCCTTGACTTTGTTTTCCTCATTTAGCTCCATTATGAACATGCACCTCCCAAACCTCAGAACACACCTAGCCTGCTGACACCCATAGATACCAAAGACATTCTTGATGTGGCACTATTTTCATTCATATTTTCATGTAGATTTTCAGCGATAGTGATCAGTTACCGTTGAGCCATTCATACTGTTTCCCAGTTCCCGATTTGACTTTTATTGCTGTCGTTCAGTTGTTTCAGTCCTGTCCAACTCTTCGTGACCCCCTTTGGGGTTTTCTTGGTAAAGATATTAGAGTGGTTTGCCATTTCCTTCTCCAGCTCATTTTACAGAGGAGGAAACTGAGGCAAACAGGGTTAAGTGACTTGCCCATGGCCACGTGGCTGGTAAGTGTCTAAAGCCAGATTTGAACTCAAGAATATGAGTCTTCCTGACTTCAGGGCTAGCACTCTATCCAGTGATCCACCTAGTTGCCCTCCCCTAACACCACCATTTTGACTAGTGGTGCACATTTACTATAAGGGGAAGACCAGGGGTGAAGTTTGTGATTTTAAAATAGAAAAAATACCCATGTGAATGCTGGCCATGGCATTATGAGAACCCAATGAGGCAATGTATATAAAACACTCTGCAAAACTTAATGCACTATGCAGACATCAGTTATCATTATTTATCTTACAAAACATTACTACCGATTCATAAAATCTTCAGTCTCGAACAGGTCTGTGGGGGTTATCTCATCACAAATCCTACCTATCACATCTTCAGAAATTGGGCATCTAGACTCTGCTTGAAGACATTCAGGATTAGGCAGCTCACTCATCTCCAAGCGAGCTCCTTCCATTTTTAGACACCTCTCACTTTTAAGGAACTTTTCCTCGTTTTGATCCCGAATCTGACTTTGTTGAACTTTCATCAGCTGTTCCTTGTTCTGGTATCTGGAGCCAAATATCAAATCTAAACTCTCTTCCATCTGAAATCTCTTCAAATATCAGAAAACTACTAGCTCCTAAAAAGTTATTTTCATCTCCAGACTAAACGTCCCCATTTTCCTCCCCTGACCTCTCCATTCTTAGCCAGGTTGATTGTCGTCTTTCCATTGGCATGCCCTATTCTCTTCTGAGCTCCAGCTTGTCAATGTCCCTTCTAAAATACGGTGTCTGTAATTCAACTACACATGCAATCTGATCAAGGCAGAGCAATAGAGGATTAGCAACTCCCTTGCTCTGGAAATGATATTTCCATGAACATAGCCCAAGGTCACATTTGTTCTTCTGGCTGACACATCACATGTTTTCCTCTTATTGATCTGACAAGCCACTAAAACCCCTCTGTCTCTTAAATGTGAACTACATTGGACTAATGTCTTCTCCATCCAGGTTCTGTGGTTGCTAGCTTGTCCACTGATAAGATCTCTCATGGTCTATTTCATTCAACAGAATTCTCATAAAAGGGACAGGAAGTGAAAGATAAGAAATGATGGCTTTCAAAGCAAATGTTAATTCAACACTGTAATCAAATAATGAGTTTCTTTATGTCATATATGATTCCTAAGTGCTTCATGGACAAACTAATGACAGTAATGAAAGATCAAGGTCACTGGAAACCACATCCAAATTGATCAATTCCTAAAAATCTATGATAGTCTAGGATACCACCTCAACTCAACATTATTTTGAAAAGCATTTTGCATACCACTTCAAATGCAACAAGCATTTCCTGAACATCTACTATGTACCTTGTTCAATATCCCAACTGAGATCTATCTAGTCATCCATCCATCCATCCATCCATCCATCCATCCATCCATCCATCCATCTATCCATCCATCCATCCATCCATCTATCTATCTATCTATCTATCTATCTATACTATCTATCTATCTATCATCTTCTATCCATTCTTCTACCCTTCTATCTTCACTATCTATATAGCTTTACCTATATATCTATGTAAAACTGCTCATCTACAAAGTGTTTAGTTGTTCCTAGAGCACTGGTGTCTTGCTAACTAGGTAGAAATCCTAGCTCTGACATGTATTAGCTGCATGACTGGAGCAAGGAATATACCCTCCAAGAGCTCATCTGTGAAATGAGGACAATCATACTTGCACCATTCACCTACTGTTATGAGGGAGGCACTTTGAAAACTTTAGTGTTATAAAAACACCAGTTCTAACAATTATTGTCTTTATAAATCCATTTTTGGGGTTTGAAGATAGTAGGTAGAACCAAATAGATGGGGGAAATTGCACTAGGCTACCTGTTAAAAAAATAATAATAATAAAAAAGTGAAGTCAGAAGAAATCCTAACAATTTCTTTTAAAATAATGAATTGACCCTTTCTCTCTCTCTCTCTCTCTCTCTCTCTCTCTCTCTCTCTCTCTCTCTTCTCTCTCTCTCTCTCTCTCTTTCTCTCTCTCCCTCCCTCCCTTCCTCCCTCCTTCTCTGCCTCCCCCCTTCCTCCCTCATTCTCTCCTTCTGTCTTTTTCTGGCAGAATTATCCAGTTCAAACCAAAATCCCCTTGAAGATTCTGGTAAGTTCACCATTATTTCTCATGTATTTCCTTTTCCTTATAGTGGGTTTCCCCAAAAAAATTTATCACCTTTTCAAGTTAATTCATTCCAATGGAATTGATGGTTAAACACCATTTATGGTTCAGGAAACAAGAAATAAAGAAGGAAATGACTTTTATTTAGTGGCTACTTTATGTTGTAATATTCGTAACATTTACAAATGTCATCTCATTTTATCCTCACAACAGCCCTGGAAGGTAGGTACTATTGTTAACCTCCTCTTACCGTTGAGGAAACTGAAGTTAAGTGACTTGCCCAAGCTCACACAATTAGTAAATGTCCTCAGTGGGATTTGAACTCAGGTCTTTCTGACTCCAGGGCCAAGGCTCTATCTACTGTGCCATTTGGCTGTCTAAAGACATTGACTTAGCTCATCACCACAGTGAGCTTGTAGCTACGCTGAAATGAAAATACACTTATGAAATACCTACCTTGTGCAAAGCACAGTGTTTGGCACTGTGACAGATCAAATAAGGTTAAGACCCTATTCCTGCCCACAAGCAACTTCATGATCTACCTGGAAAGAATCAGAGAATCATAGAATAATAGTCAGCACACACCAAAAAGAAATCTCCACTGTATTGTACAAGACAATTGAACGTCCACCTTCTTACTAGAGGCTTCCAATGAGAGTGAACTTATTCTCTCCTGAGGCAGCTCAAAACAGGATATAAAGTTTAGGACATGGAACCCAAGCATGTGAAGGGTTAAATGACAGTGGGAGTAAAGTAATTGATATCAGCATAAGGGACTCCCGGTGTGGAAATGCTTTCTATAAAGCACATTGTTACTAGTCTACCACTTAGCTGATAACCTGAGACATATAAGGTTAACTGACCTGCCCAGACTTCCACACTCTAAGGGTCAGGTTCAGTATTTTCAATAACTGAGGCTTTCCTGACTCCAAGCCTAAAACTCTAGCAGTGATGTGGGAGAATTCCCAGTGCAAGAATCTGGTGGGCAACTAATTCCTTCATAATTTATAGTCCTAGAAAGTTGCCTGGGCCCTTGAGACACTAAAGTGACTTTCCACTTGCCATAATCACTTAGCCAATTTGTGTCAAAGGCAAGACCTGATCCCAGGACTATCTATTAGAAAACAATGTCGTTCATTTCCTCATCTCATAGCTCTCTAGGCCTAGCATAACACCATGATCATAGGGGCTCTAAATCAACTGTGTTGATTATATAGATGAAGGGAAAACTTAGCCACTTGAAGGATAAAAATTAGCTCCCTTAAGACTTTTGTAGTCTATTAATATTTTGAATAGACTGGACTTGTTATTTCATTGGTATAGAGAACATCCCCTCTTACCAGTAGAGAATACCTACTGTGCAGCTCATAGTTTATTTTTGTTTGCTTGTTTGTTTTTTGGCTAGGCAATGGGGTTAAGTGACTTGCCCAGGGTCACACAGCTAGCAAGTGTTATATGTCTGAGGCCAGATTTGAACTCAGGTCCTCCTGAATCCATGGCCAGTGCTCTATCCACTGCCCCATCTAGCTGCCCCTGCAGCTCATAGTTTTAATGAACTTCTTGGGGGCATTGAGATATCAATCAATCAGCAAGCATTTGTTAAGGACTTACTATGTGCTAGGCACTGTTCAAGTTGCTAGGGATACAAAGAATGAAATAGGCCCTGCTCTTAAGAGACTTGCCCAGGGTCACATAGCCAGCATATGTCAGAGATGGTACTAGAGCCCAAGTCTTCCCGATTCTGACAATAGTTCTCTATCCATGACCCCACATAGCTTCCCACAACACTTTCTAGGAACAGGTCTTATACTAACCACTTTGTGTTAATAAACCAGTTTGGAAGTATTAATGTTTTAAATGAGCAACAACTCTTCGGGGATCACTCACCCAACTCATGTTCAAACTCATAGGTTGACCTCAGAAGGTAAGTTGGTTACTACTCCCATTAGAGTTCTAGGGGTAACTCTGAGAAGTTGTGGCTTCCAACACCGGTACAGATCATGAGCCCCATCAGTGTACTTCTGATTAGGCTCAACCATCCAAGCTTCAATTAGTTTTTAGAAAAGGATTTTTACTAAGCATAGTAAAAAAAAAAGTTTCTGTAAAGCATCATTCTAGATGTATGGAGAACAATCCTGTGTGAATATGTACAAATATGTATGGTAAAAGTGGGCTCAAAATGAAGATGCAATGGTAAAAAGGGACATGTGTGGGGAATATGTGTGACCAAAGGGGAAACTCACAACTCCTAAATACTGTTAAGTCTTCCTTTGAATCTACCACCAGAATTCACTTTTGGCACAAGCTGGTCATGGTACTTGAAGCTTCTTTCCTTGTGTGGTTGGATTTGTCCTCAGTGAGTACTTAGTATGTTTCTTCACCCAGCTGAATATATTGTCTCCTACTGGCTCAAGCAATGGAAGAGAGTGGGTATTTTGTTTTTTTGTTCTTTGTTTTGCTCTCTGCCTTCTCCTCTTCTCCAAAGAGTTTGGAGGTGTTAACATTTTAAATAAGTAACAACTCTTCTGGGACCACTCACCCAACTCGTGTTTAAACTCTAAGTTGAGGTCCTCAGAGGGTAAGTTAGTTACTACTCCCATTAGGGTTTGAGGGTCAACCCTTGATCCAAGAGTAGTTCCCACTCAAGAGTCTGGCTCAATTCCCAAAGTGAAATATTCCACCTCAGGCCGGAGTACTCTGGAAGAGTGAACATCTAACTTTCTTCTGGTATCTAAAGATATCAGAGCCGTGGTTAGCTTCCTTTATTAGCCAATAGCTCCTTTTCTCATCATGACTTAGTCAAAGAGGTTCACATCCCAAAGTATAAACATCATCCTTACTGATTGATTGATTGATTCTGTAACTCAATCAAAGAGTTGTTTTCAACTGATAAAGGTATCACAGGGCAGACCAGCTTATTAATAAAGGGTAATGGGAATGAAATTCCACACCTTATACATGGAATATGAAATAATATTTACTCTTCCTAATGGGCAGATCATTTAGTTCAGGCACTCAGAGGTGAAAGCATCGCATTCCCATAAGACAATCAGCGGCATACCTCAGAATTAGGTTCATAGGTCCAGAGCAGGGAAGGAACTGAAAGGTCATGCAGCTCTTTTATTTTACAGATGAGAAAACTAAAGCCTATGGAGTTTAAGTGACTTGCCCAGGGTCACAAAGGTAGTGAGCATCAGAAGTGGAATTCAAATTCAGGGTATCTGACTCCAGAGTACAAACTACACTTGGTTTGTTGTCATAACCCTCTCCATAATGAAGTTACTCTCCTTACTCTAAACACATGGTAGGTCAGGAAAGGAAAACGAGTAGGCAAAAAAGTCGAGGATCCTTGTAAAATTGATACTGACAGACTCATCAAGAAAGCTGGCCATGATCATCATGCTAGGCTGAAGATAGAGCAGGCTAAGGAAGGAAACAGCTCTAGTAACAGCCAAACTATCCATCTTTACACGTAAATTAGGCGATCAGGACTATCTTGCAATATGTCTGGATGATAAATATTCCTCCTAGAGTCCCTGACTGGTACCCCCTTTTGGGAGGTCTCTGACCAAGAATCTCACCTGCCCATTTTATTGAAAACTAGTGAGAGATGGGGCTCAGCAAGGCTGAACCTCTGCCCATGTGCGCTGATAAACCACGGATGTAAGAAGTCATCATTCCAGGCAACTAACAAGTCACTCAGACCCAGCTTGTGGAATTTGGCTCTTTTGTTCTGTCAGTTTGAAGAGTACAGTGCGGGTGATATCATTTAGAATGGAGTTCTTTTAAAGCTTTCACTCAGGAAAAGCAACCTGAGCTCTGGGGGTAGCGCTTAGCTCAAAAAAAGAGAAAGAAAGCAAGTTTGCATTGACAGCTTGATCCCAGAGAGAGGTGGCTGGCGGCTTGTCTAACAGGTCCTCTGGGTCTTGATGAGGCAGAGACGGAGCAGCAGTCATATTAAGTGAATGCATGTTGCCAATGTTAAAGGGACAATTACCATGATTCTGCCTAGCTCACTGTTTGCTACTGCTGTTTCCTTCAATAAGGCCCCTTTTCACTTGCCAATTGGAGCTTGTCAGGCAACAATATTTCTCATGCACAAAACACAGATGAAAATGCCCTTGTGTTTTTAATACATTTATAGTCGTTAACAATAGTGCTCCGCTGACAAAGGGGAGATTGCTCTTGTTATGAATGCAAAACAGTTACAGGCAAAGATGTGCCGTGGCTGCTGGGCCAAGTAGCTTGAGGTTAGCATGTGTCCCCCAAATACAGAAGAGTTGTCCATTGTGGACAGCTCACTTCCAAAGAAAACACCTCGTATATTTGACCTTTCTCTGATACCTGGGAAAATGACAATGGCAGGAGAATGGAAAAGAGTGGGAGGGTGATGATGATGATGCTAATTTGGCAATTATGTAACACTTTAAGGTTTTCAAAACACTCTCATATCATAGGATCATTCAACTAGACCTGGGAGAAACCTGAGAGCCCTACTAGTCCAATCCCATCTCTGATTTTACAGATAAGGAAACTGAGGTGCAGGTAGTTTGAGTGACTTGCCCATGGTTACTTAGGTAGTAAGTGTCATAGTCAAGATCATTTCCTTCGACCCTATCCAAAAATTAGCTTCATCTTCTGCATTTTCTTGGTTTAGCCAAGGCATTTTTGTTACTTGTATACCCAAGGAAAGAACTTGACCAGAGACATACAAGCAGGTTTCTCACAAGTGAAATATGGCTGACCAATTTATAGTTTTATAATTTGGTTGCGGAGAAAAAGAGTAAATTGGGAGTGATACAATGATGAAGGATGAATGAGGATAGAGGTTAGCACAATGTTGGGTGAAAGAAGGACAAAGCTGGGATATTGATGAAGGAATGGTTAGCAGAACATGGTGACTCAATTGTAACTGGAACATTGTACAAACAATTAATGTAAGTTTCTTGGTTGCTTTCCATTGTCCTGCCCAAGGACAAAACTAT